TTGGAATCGCCCAAAGGTTAGCTAGCTTTTCATATGTAGCATTTTGATCTGTGGGTTGTAACTGTTTTCTGGTTCTTTTCTGGGCAAGGCGATCACATTTCTTCTCAAGTGATGAACTATTGAATAGGGCTTTAAACTTTTTTCAAATATAAATATGATGAATTCTCCTATCTATAAAATGGGAGTCCAGTTTTTTACTTGTTATATATATATGTATATAATATAATGATAAATTGGTTTTTCACTTGCTCAAAAGAAAGAAAAAAACAAACATTGTCCCATATATAGCCATATATATCATTGCAGCGGTTCAAAAATTTTCATATGGACCCCATAATAAAGTTAATGTCAGAGCAGAATTTTTTTAAAAAAAAAATTTCAGTACTATAATAATATAATATGAGAAATTGAATGACGAAATCTGGGAATTTAAATCGTGAAAAATCCTGATTTGATATTATTTTTTAATGAGGTATTAAACTGTCATTCTACTAACGATTTAGGGTAAAAAAAATGTTCTAGCACCGGAGGTAACAATTTAATGATGAAGCTGTTAGTTTTGACCTTTAAAGTAGTCTTTTTGTTTTTTGGTCAAGACTTTTAAAGTAGTCTATTGACAAATTTTTTGTTGGCTGTAATGTGGTCTTATTACAACAAAAACTTAGGCATTTTTATCAAAATACTGTAAACATTAAAACTTATTACACAAATGCTACATTATGAAAACTATTTCTCAATATGCTGTATTTTTTAGAAATCGTTCATGCCGTGATGAACTTTCAATCTGACAATTTTTTTCATTTTCGGCAAAAATTACAGCTAAATACCCTATTTCATCAAAGGTTGTCCTGTCTCTGTCTGCCTATTGAATTTTAGAGAAAATTACAGTTATACCCATCCTTCCCATTTTCCCTGTGCTCTGTCTCTTTCTAAGATTGGCCCCAAAAAAATCTCTACAGTGCTGTTTGGTACGAGGAAATAGAGAGTGACGGAGGAGAAAGAAAATTTTACTGAACTATATTTAAAAAATCAGATAAGTAAGATTTTCAAATTTTAATAAAGAGATGAAGTAATATATAATAGTGTAAAAATTAATTAAAATTTTTTAATCCCGCTATTAAAATTTTTTCTCCAATATCTTTTTTTTTCTCATACCAAATAGACTCTAAATAAAAACATATTTTGTAGAAAAATTACGCGTTGTCATTTTATAAATTACTACTCTTTCGGTCCTTATTGTATAATACTACTTCTGATCATTAATATAAGAGTTTGTTTGACTTTTATTTTGGTCTTAAATATAAGATATTAATCCACTTTGTTTATCATATTTATCCCTTTTTTCAAGATAATCCTTGTAATAATAATAATTCTAGCTAATAGATTTGATTAGCGAGGATATTTTAGAAAAGATAATACTTATTTATTACAAATAACTAACTTAAGTTATTTTCTTAATTTTTTCAAATTAGTCAACTAGCTCTTATATTTGAGACCATAAGTAATACTTAATTTGTGAATTGATATTAGTTTTATAAGTAAAACCTATGTTATATGTTTGACAGTAAACACATCAAAATATCAGTAATAGGGGACACATTAGAACTCCCAACCTCTCTGCAAAGAATGATAAGCAACGCAGAGGAGAAGACAAAGCAAAACTGTGGAATGCAACTAATGGCAGCGATTAGCTACAGCGGCAAATACGACGTCATGCAAGCCTGCAAAACCATAGCAGGAAAGGTCAAAGACGGCATCATGGAGGTAGAAGACATTAATGAAGGGCTGATAGAGCAAGAACTGGAAGCAAGCTGCACCAAGTTTCCCAACCCAGACTTGATGATTCGAACCAGTGGCGAACTCAAAGTGAGCAACCTCTTGCTTCGGCAACTTGCTTACACTGAACTTGGCTTTGATGCTCATCTCTGGCCTGATCTTGGCAAGGACCAATTTGTGGAGGCCTTGGCTTTGTCTCAGCAAAGACACAGGCGCTTTGGTGGAAGACGACATTGATAATTTTTAACTATATTTATTATCATGAGCTGTTGTCTAATTTGGATTAACTTATTTAAATGATTTTATACTACATATAATATTAATATGTGAAAAGAGTTTTATATGATAAAACGCGAAATGGTTATAAGGTGCTTGAGTAAGCTTATTTCAGTTTGTTGATTGTTCATGTCAAATACTATGCCTGATCCTTAATATAAGTGTTAGTTTGACTAATTTGAGTAGATTAAAGATATTAGTTAAGTTAGTTGTTTGTAATAAATATGTGTTGTCTTCCCTAAAATACCCTTATTAGTCAAGCATCATTTGATAAAATATTTAATATGTGAAACTATAACAAAGACTATCTTACAAAAAATGGATAAATATAATAAACAAAGTAGATTGGAGTCTTATATTTAAAATTACATTATAAAACAAATAAGCTAAAGACTTTGAATTCCATATAGCATGAATGCAATATATTATGCTCAAAAATTTAGACAATTGACTATGTACCTGACAGGGTGGAGCATGGTTTGCGTACCTTTCATTACTTCGCCAGCTATCCCATACCTAACACTAATAATTATGTATCTTTATTTTTTGTCACCGATATGTATTTATGGTGGTATTGGTAATAGTTTACTCCGGAAAACGTATGGTTGAAAATCAAATATACTTGTTCTTTTTTTAAAAAAAAATAAATTTTGATATTTTAAAACTTAACACCTTTTTTCTTTTTATAAAGTAGCAAAAGTACAAGTGAAAAAAAAAAAAGAGAAGCACATATAACAACACGCACCTGACACTCACTTGCATATAAGAAAGTTTGCAAGACTTAACATTAAAAAAAAAACTTTAAATACAATTATTAAATGGGGGCTTACTTGGAAGCTACGCAAGATGAGCTAAGTTTTATATGTGAAAAGGGTTAATTTATTAAAAGTTGAGAAAAAAATGAGAATTAAGTTTTAATTAAGTTAAAAGTTGAGTGACTGAGTGATAACTAATTAAACTTTACAGGATCAACAGATTAATTTTTTTAAAAAATAAATGAATTGTCCATTAGTGCTTGTTCAGAATCATTTAAATAAACATTTATACATACATAGTTTATCACCTAAATCAGTCTCAGATATAACATTCTTAATTTGGTTTAATTAGTTTTAGTTTTCAGCGATAATTTCTTTAATTAACCTATAATTAATCTCCTCTTCAAATTAGTTACCCACGTACTGACGTCCCTTTCAGGCAAAGGGTACGTACGTGGCTGGGGTGACCCGTGATCCTACCCCTAGCTAATTCCCGTGTATAATCTGACAATTTGGTCCCTTAGATTCGTTAAAAGTGCCTATAAATTTTGTCAGCCAAAGGACATGAATTTAAAGGAGTGCGACTCATTTTTAAGCATGTGAAATATATTTTTAATTACGTACAAATGACTTTTGTTTTGAAAACTTTTGTACATAATCAAAGATACATTACACGCAAGCGGAAAAAGGTAACTATGGAAAATGTTACCCATATCTATCTTTTTAAAGGCATGATGCAAAATTGTTATTATCTAATCCCATGTGAGAAAGCCTTTAAAATCAATCATCCTTGATGATGTTTATAACTAGGAGGACGATTAAGAGGGAAAAATTCATTTCCATAAACTTGAAAATGCTTATGCTAAGTCACCGAAAATGTTAAAATTGATTTCATACAAAATGCTCATCACATGCACTTGTTGTGTGTAAACTATAAAACTTATGGAGACGTTGTTAAATTAGGGTACTAAAAGTTGAACCGGTTATTAAATAGGTTGAAGTAATTATTCAAGAGTAATTCGTCTAATCATTATTAAATCAAGGTCAGGTCAATCATAATTAAAATAATACTGTCTCTGGTTCTTAATATAAAAGCTAAACAACTAATTTGAAGAGATTAAAAAATTAGTTAATCTGATTATTTGTCATAATGTGTGTTGAACTCCCCAAATTATCGTGGTAACATCTTATAATCAATAAAAATATTTTGAGAAAAAAAAAGAAATAAATAATATATTTAGAACCAAATCTAACTCTACAACTAGCTCTTTTATATATTAAATACAGGAGGTAGAGTAACGTAATTAAGATATATAAAAATAATCATAACATATAATTATTTAAATAAAAAATACATTATATTAATCCATAGTAAATGGAAAATCACATGCTATAACTAAATCACAAATCCAGCTTACTGCTATTTTTTTCACACAAAACAATATCATTTCATACATAGTCAAGGAAAAAATATATATATAATTAAATTATGTTGACCGATTTACTGTTTAATAACTTGAATTAAATTTTTAACAGAGTTTAAAGGTATGTTTGGCTCAATGAGAGGAAAGGAAAGGGAGGGATTTTAATGGAAGGAAGGGGAACGGAGGGGAGTGGAAGGATTTTAATATTATCTTGTTTGGATTTAAAAAAAAGAGGGGAGGGGAGGGAAAAATATTTTAATATGGATAATTTTGCTCTTATTTTATTTAAGCTGTGGGCATAATGGTCACAACATGACAAAATATAGACATAATGGTCACAACATGACAAAATATGAGAATAATGGTCATAATATGACAAAATATTGCCCTTTCCCTTCAAATCCTCCCAATTTTGGAGGGGAGGGGAGGGGAAATTTTAAAAAATTTTCCCTCCCCTCCTAAAATTTGTGTATTGCCAAATAAAGAAAAATGATTAAAATTCCTCCCCTTCCCTCCCCTCCCTCCCAAATCCCTCTCCTTCCCTCCCCTCCCTCCTAAATCCCTCATGCCAAACACACCCTAAAGATTATGCATGTCCTCCCCTCTCACCACCACGTGCCCTCCTACCTCAAAAATTCTGCCCTTCTGATGATAGTTTGTGTCTTGAACATAATTTATTGCTACTCTAATTTTCTTTATATAAATCAAAGTCCCCCAAGTCCCAGCGTCCCCCGCTGCGCCTAACACTGTCATATTCCAGACATGAACACTATGTTCCTGCACAGCCTTCCTATTCCGGTGAAGAATACTCTAACCCCGCTTCCTAATAAGCCTCGCGCTCCCACTAATGCCCGTTCCCAAACGCACCGATTCGTCCGTCGTTTGCTCTTTCCCGATTCCCGGAGTTGCAGGACGGCACTTCCTTCGCCGAATGTGGCTATCGTTTCGGCATCTTCGCCGCAGCCGGAGCCGCTACCGCCGGAGCTGCGGCAGGATCTGATGCCGAAGCACGTGGCGGTGATTATGGACGGAAACGGGAGGTGGGCCAAGATGCGGGGGTTGCCACCGTCGGCGGGTCACGAGGCCGGCGTAGAGTCGCTGAAGAGGGTTATCGATCTGTGTGGCCGCTGGGGGATTAAGGTTCTGACCGTTTTCGCATTTTCTGTTGATAACTGGAAACGCCCCAAGGTTAGCTTCCATTAGCCCCCCCCCCCCCACCAACCTCTTTTTGACCAGCGGTTAGTTTCTATTAATAAACCAAAGAAGTTAAATACTACCTCCAATCCTAATTATAAAAATTAGTTGACTAATTTAAAGAGATTAAAAAAATAAATTAAGTTAGTTATTTGTAATAAATAGGCGTTGTCTTTCCTAAAATATTCTTGCTAATCAAGTGTGTTTTGGCTAAAACTATAATTATTAGAAGGATTATCTTGGAAAAAATTACACAAATGAGAGACAAAGTTGATTGGGATATTATATTTAGGATCAAAATAAAAGTCAAAAGATGTCTTATATTAAAAACCAGAGATAGTATGTCACATTACTTAATTACATATGACATATTTTTTTCGAAATATTATTATGTATGTGACATTGAATTATAGATTAATTTATCAAATAATAAATATAGGAGTATATGAAATTAAATGAAAATGATATGAAAAGGTCAAAAAAGATAATAAACATAAAACAAAGTGACTTTTCAGTTTTCATGTTAAAATTAGTATATGTATCTTGGAATAAAAATATGATAAAAATTATTTTATTATTGCTGAGTAATAATAATAATAATATAATAAATAATATTTTTTTCCTTTCATGCCATAATGTTGTGGTATTACTCTGAATTGATCAATATTATTATACGAGAAGAAGCCATCCTATACATCAATTTTACATTGCAATTCAGAGATAATTATAGATTACTGGTCTCAGTTGTTTTTATAAGAGATGAATAACTAGTGATAATAAATGTAGTTAAAGTTAAGTGAATTATTAAATATGTTAAAAATTTAAATTTATTTTTAAAAAATACTTGCAATTAATAATTACTCCTTTAATCCTATTTATAAGTTATTTTCAACATATTTTATACAAACGAAGAAAAATCTTAAACTTTATTAACTCTCATTTAAAATTCTATAATTTTTATTTTTATCCTTATTATACATTATACCTCATGTAAATAAAATCAATACAATAATAAATAAAAGGTAAAATTGTACACATATACAAAAAATTTCTCTCAACACCTTATAAATAAAAAAAAAATATTTTTTTCCTGTCTTATAATAGGACCAGAGGAGTATATTGATTAATGGTTTTGAATAATTGACATCATTAATAAGTACTCATTCTAATTAGAATATAAGCAGAATTCGGAAAATTCTGAAAAAAAATCTCTTACAAAAAGTACTGAAGAACAAAAAATATTGAATAGTACCACTCTATTCTTATATATAATATAAGTAACTTGTATATCATTCTCATACATTAAGAAATATATTAAATTAATGAAATTTTTTACATTTATCTCTATTGCAGAAAGAATATTGGAAAAAAAAATATGATGTACACTTTCTCTTATCTATTTTCTTTATGGTATTCAATAGGTATAAAATCTGAGAACGTTATTAATTACCTTACAAGTAATTTATATCTTCTCCTGTCTTAACATAAAAACTTATTGACTAATTTAAGTATATTAAAAAAATTTGATAAATTAATTATTTATAATAAATAGATGATGTTTTTCTTAAAATACTATTACTAATTGAGTATATTAGTTTAGCATTTAATGTATATATTAGAATTTTATATTCAAGATCAAATTAAAAATAAAACTAGTTCTTGTATTAAAAATTTAAAAAGTAGTCTTTAAAATAATACTGCATGATTGTACGCTATCGCATTGATTGTCCTCCAGCTAGAGGTTCGCACACCATAGTCATCACTCTTATGCCCAATTGCCCATGGATAGAAAGACAAAAGGAAGCGACTTTTCATATAAAACCTATTATTTGTGTCCTGCGCTAAAATATGATAAAAATATATAATTGTTGCTGAGTAATAATAATGGAAATATAGTAAATCTCATATGTCTGTTCTCTCTTGGCTGTATTATATTTAATAAATAAAATATAATTTATTAATTTTTAAAATATTTTATCATTAAATATTATTTTTTAATGAAAAGAGACTCATTCTTAATTCTTTTTTGGTTAGAGAGGCTCATTCTTAATATTCGTATTACAGATCTTGATCTTTTCTAATAAAATTTTATGTCATGAGTTATTATGACCAAGTAATTTCATAAGTGCAGATTTATTGTTTATTATTTAATCTGGATTTAATATTAATTAAAAGTAGTTTAAATGTATATTGATTTGCTTTTTTTAATAAATAATTGAAGATCTATTCTATTTTTGGTGCAGACTATGACATTTAAGAATGAACAAGAACGTAAAATTTTCCATTAATTATAATTTTGAAAAATATAACATATAATTTTACACATTTTACCATTGTCTAATGATATTTTTTAAATTCATAAAAGCATCTCGAAATATAATTATATAAATATAGAAGCCATAAATTCAAATAAAATTTATAAATATATATTGAATGGTATTTACTTTTTCATCGGCAGGTGGAGGTTGATTTTTTGTTGAGGCTCTTCGAAAGAATCATAAACACCGAAATTGAGGCTTTCGCAAGGTACCTCCTGAGCTGACTCCCCGGTTTTTTTTCCTTCGTTTTTTTGGACTGAAAGAGCTGACTCCCCGGTTTGAATTGCCCTGCTAAGTGCTAAGTACTTCATTTCAATATCAATTAATTTTGGAAAATCACATTTATATCCTACAAATATCCAAGTTGATGACAACTTTTGATTTTTGTTGGGAGAAAGATGTATAAAGGCTTATCTAGTGATTTCTCCCTTATTTCTATTTAATTTTTAGGGGTTCTTTTAAAATATTTTTTTTTTTTTGCGAAATAACCTAATTACCCTCATTGCTTGAGCGTTTATTATTTAATATAAGTGGAAGTTATTACTTGTTTTTCAATTAAAGGGTTTGACATTAACAATTAACAATTTGGATCTACAAATATAATCAAACTCACAATTTCAAGGTATATTTCATATGTTTATGAATTGATGATGTTGGTCCTATATACAAAGTATATTTCATATGTTTATCAATTTTTTTTAAATTAACCCTATTGATATTCTCTTAAAAATAATCAAATAGGAAAGAGAGAAAATTAAGGAAGATATATACTTAATATGTTTTAAAAAAACATATTATATTAACTAATTTAACTAACATCATTAATTTACTTAACATAGTTAATTAGGTTTTATATTAATGACTGGAGGAGTAAAATGTTATTGGCAAAGTCACTACTCGTTAAACTGTGGTTTTTCAAATTTTCAATTGAGAGTATTTAGACAAGTTTGCCACAAAATTTACTCACAAACGAGTCTCAGGAGGCTTCATTGTGATTAGACCATTTCAAAAATTATGAATAGTGATTTACATTACATATTTGAACGGTAGTTTTGTACCTCTCTGCCACAATAAATGGGCAAATCCTTTTGGTATTTTACAGGGAAGGCATTAAATTATCAGTAATAGGAGACCAATCAAAGCTCCCAACCACTCTGCAAAGAATAATAAGTATCGCAGAGAAGAGGACGGAGCAAAACTCAAGACTGCAACTAATCATAGCAATTAACTACAGTGGCAAATACGACGTCGTGCAAGCCTGCAAGGCCATAGCTGGGAAGATGAAAGATGGCGTTGTGAAAGTAGAAGACATTAATGAAAGCTTGATCGAACAAGAACTGGAAACAAACTGCACCCAGTTCCCAAACCCAGACCTGATGATCCGAACCAGTGGCGAACTCAGAGTGAGCAATTTCTTATTGTGGCAATTAGCTTACACAGAACTTGTCTTTGATCCTCAACTCTGGCCTGATTTTGGCAAGGAGCAGTTCGTGCAAGCCTTGGCTTCATTTCAGCAAAGACATAGACGCTTTGGTGCAAGAAATAATTAATGAGTAAAAAGCAGTAGCCAAAACCCCGATCTTTTTATGGTACATTTAGCATCCCTGTCTTATTTTTTAGTTACATCAAGATCCTAACCTTTAGAGTACTTGATGCACAAAAAAAAAAAAAAGATCAGGATGTTGTATGCGTTATAAAAAGATCAGGGTATTGGATATTATAATCTATAATTAATTAGTGAATATTGCACCAAATGTCTTACAAATCTTTTATACATATATATTTTGTGTGTTTGGTCGATATTCTAATTTTATTTTGGTCCAAACATAGCTTTGCAGTCTCCAATGCCTAGTCGATTTGTAGTACCTAACATAAATTAGTAACATTTTTATTTCTAGCAACCAGCAGATCGCAGTAAGTTTGCACTATTATTTTTTCTTCATTTTTTTATGTTAGTTTTTTTTTTTTTTTTTTGCAATTCTCTTATAATACTGGTTATCCCAATGTTGGATGGATCTTCAATTTCTTTTCATCTTTATTTTTTTTCATTTTCTTTATTTTCGAGCACTTGGAGTCAGGAAAATCGTGGTAAATGACTCCTGGAACTCACCGTTTGATTGAGAAGTTATATTTGGCGCAGAAATTGAGAATTAATTTATATGCTTCACTTTCAAGTTTAAGGGGGAAAAAAACATAGAAACAAATATCATAAAAAATATATAAATGCTTTACATATATGAATTATTTTTTTAAATAAATATCACTAACCTTCTCATCCATTTCAAATTTTTGTAACCCCTATTCCTCCTATCTATGAAATAATTTTATTCATAGTAATAATAATGCATGATTAAAAATTACATTGTGTCATTATTAATGATCAATTTTTAAAACATTACCATGAAAGAATACGTTTAATTAGTTCATGGAATCACTAAAAAGGTAATGGAATGGAATGGCTGAGAATGTAATGTAATTGAGATTTCATGAATTTGTTTGATATGAGATTTAAGAGAATGATAATCAAATTTATTACACACACCCACACACCACACACACACAATATTAAAATAACAAGAAGTATTAAAAAACACAAACACTCTCCTAAACAAACTTCCTACTTCACCATGATCGGCTTCCTTCTTCTTCACCTAAATCTGAAATCGTCTGGCGAAGAAAAAGAGGACGATGATGTTGAAGAGATGGAGGAAGGGAAAGAAAATGAAGAAGTCATATTTGCTATAACTACAAGTTTTAATACATCTTCCTACGAACTGTGTCAATATTAAAGGAGGAATAGGGAAAGGAGAGTAGAGAAAGGAGAACATCAAAAAGGAGAGAAACCAAGGGCATAAAAATAAAAAACATACCCGCTGGGGGATCTTCCTCTGTAACTCCAGCCTCAGTTCCTTGTGACTGAGCAGGAATTCTGGTTGAAGAATAAGGGTTGAATTTGAGGACGGAATTGTGTTTCCTGAGGAGAAAGGAAGGTTTTGGGTGAAGAGAAGCGGTGGAACTGAGATTGACGGCCATGGGGTTCTGCTTCATGTGATGTTTGGAGGTATGATTGCCATGGATTTCCATATTCAAATTGCTTTTTGGGAGCCACTCACCGCCACAAATAATGATCAGTTTATATTATATTATTCGCCGCGTCCGGGTGATTCAAGACGGTTGGCCATTCTTTTTTCTTTTTTTTGTGAAACAAAAATAGTCTTGTGTGATTTTATTTTTTTATTTGTATGTTTTTAGTGCATTAATTAGTAAATGGCGAAAGAATAATATGCTTCATTGGTTTGATTGTCATTACTACTGTATTCTAATTAATTTTGTAGAACATAAAGTAATAAAACATTAGAAAGATATACTAATTTTCTTATTCTAAAGCAAATTTTAACTTTTTTTAGTTTTCAAAGCACATAACCAAAAACAGATTTTGAACCATATTTTTAATTTTTTTTTCAAAATAAATATGGGTTTAAAAACATAAAACCAAACAGACTCTTTCTTTTTCTTGTTTTTTTTTGGGGCCAGGATTGGCCATTCTCAACATGTGCCGGATGGATGAATGATAATTCTAGTTAATATACATAATCAGTAAAGGTATTTTAGGAAAGATAACACATATTTATTAGAAATAATTAACTTAACAAATTTTTTAATATCTTTACATTAGTCAGTCAACTCTTATATTATAGACTAGAGGTAGTATGTATATATAAAATTCTTATTGGAAAAATTTAATTCAATAAACACACTAAAAAGCAAGGATATTGGCGTGGAATAAGAACAACGTGAGCGTTGGTTATCAGGGTTCAGTTTTAAATTCTGCAAAAATGAAAAGGTGATGGTTCAAGCGGCTAGGCTCACCGGGCGTAGTGGGCCGAAGGAGCAGCAGCCTGTGATCCTTCCACTGTAAGGAGCCAGAGGTTGTCGCTGCTCTGTGAAACCAGCCTCACGCAGTGCCCTCTCGTCTAGGAACCATGAATCTCGAGCCTTCGCTCAGGATCCATGGCTCAGCTCTTCACTTGGAACGGGCAGGCCAGCAAATTGCCTCCTCCTACCCAACCAGGCGATGTCAGAACCGTGTTCCATCACCTTGATGCCCCCACTTGGGTTACAAGCTGACGCTACCCAGCTCGGCGATTAGTAGCCTGTGTCAGGCTTTTATATAGTGTATTTTCTTTCTCATTCTAGTCGATGTGGGACTTCTATTGACACGTGCTTATCCTCAAACATATCAATGATGATCTTGTTAGCGAACCTGTGAGTCCAAACATACAGATGCCTGTGATCTTGTATCAAGCGGAAGCTTTTCATTGCAAGGAATATCGATCGATTAATATGATCAACAGAGAGAATCCAGAATCCAAAGAAGATATGTGGGTAAGGTTCTAGCCACCGAACTGTGCGTGGACGTTCCACGCAGCTGCAAGATGAAGCCCAGAAAGAAACCTGTCATGAATACTGAATACCCCTACGTGTGTAAAATTATCCACATGCGTCTATCACCATTAGTGTCAACAATATAATGCTCTGTCTACAAACAAAAAATGCTACGAGGTTCAGATATTTACCACTGAAGCTGCGAATTCAGGTATCTGTGTTTGTTTTTGCCTGGCATATGGTTATTTTTTCATTGGAAGCGATCTCACTTTAAGATGCCACGGGATACTAAATATGACCACCTCTTTTGACGAAGATTCAAATCTCAGGAAGGCATTAACTAGACCTGCCGATATTAGAACGATTAATTCTTCTACTTTGTTGGTGTAAATGGTCCATTTGGTGATGAAGAGTTCAGAAAGCATTATTGCTCCAAGAAGTTGAAAGAGAACACCTACTGATATGTTGCTCTTCTGCATAAACAAACACACGCCATGTTCCTGCACAGGATATTCCCATTATATATATATATGTCCGTGGAGAATAACCTGATAAAGTCACTTGGATAAAACATTACTGATTAAATAATTCCAAATTTTCAAATACGTTTAGTTAAGATTATACTCCTCTGGTCCTAAATATAAGACCCTCATACACACAATATAAGGGGATGATATTGAACCTTGGTATGTAGTAAACTTAAATTGACCATGTGAAAATATAATACTCATAAAACAGTATAAACCATTAGATTTAATCACATGATAATGAAGTTTATTATTCCTCCGGTTCTAAATATAAAACTCTTATACTCTCCTAAAT